TTCTACCGCTTAGACTTTGTTGCTTTTTCAATTTTTCCTAATAAACAGTCGTGGTACAAAGCTCAATAAAAATATTTAGGAATTATATTTTATATGTTTTTTGTTGTTGAATGAACCATATTTTTATACAAAATTGGCGGAAAAATATGAGAATAAAAATTGTTGCATATATTGCGAAAAATTTGCTGTGCCAATACTTCGTTTCGACAGTGTACATACATATGTAAATGTGTATGTATGTACGTAGTATAGTCAAAATATTAATTAAATGTCAGCAAACGTTATTGATCCAATAAAAGTCAATAATGAAACGATTTGATTCGCTTTAGGAAATATGACAAATAAACGAGTGCATTACCCCATAGTTAACTAATTTATTTGTACATTTTATTGGCTTCATTGATAAGCGAAGCAATTAAAAAATACTTAATTGCAAAAAACAAACCCACAAAGTAATAACTTTCAATCATGGATTACGATTGAGGATTACTGTTGAGTACTTATTTATTGACATTTGTAGCGCACATTGTTGCTAATCAAAGAAAACATATGTATGTATATGCACATACATACATACAAACACACGCTTTGCTATCGACTGATAAGAGTAGTGATCTACAAGTCAAACTCGAAATCTAACTACAAACACCTACACGCGCTTACAATAAAAGCAAGATCTGTGGCTTTGCTCAGCCACGCTTTCAGTTCCACCGGCCAAGTGGTCGATGTCGTTTTCGTCGGCTATCAGAGCCAGCTGCGAACTGGCTACAAAGTATCTATCTAGTATGGTAGCGTGCAAGTTGTAACAATTTGCTTATCACTGATTTAGCGTTGTCGCCTCCGAGTCTGTGCTCTGCTGCTAAGAAGTGGCTTGTTGGTGGCTGCACATTTTGTGGGCATTGACAGAAACCTTTTGATTGCTTTGGCAGACAAATGCAACGCCCACGCCTGTTTAATCACCAGAGGCGGTACTGGATACAGTGAGAGCTCAAAGCAGTTTTTGTATTGTGAACAAATACCTACTCTATGATTATTACAGTTGCTGTGTTATTAGTATTAGTATCTATTTGTCACCGACTATCAAAGGCTTTGAGGCGTGTGCGTCAACCACGTCTGCAATTAGAGTTTATACACCTTCGCCAGTTTTTCTTTTTTTTGTTGATTTATGACTTTTATTATTTGGTTTTTTTACTCACTGAGTAATTTGAGTTTTTATTTGCGCTGTGAAAAACAAATTCTCACTTATACCGTGACTAGCTAATAACAATGCGAACAACATTTTGATTTATTGATATGTATTTTTTTTCATAAGGTAAAACGACAACACGTTTCATTGAAATTTGAATTGGTTCTAGCATATATGCATGCCTACCAGAGAGCTGCATAAGTGCACTTGAGAAGGTGTATACGACATATATAACACTGTGCACCAAATTTCAAAAAGTTGGAGGTGATGGGAATCGGAACAGCGGCATTTAACACCATTTCTTGTTTATCTCAATTTGAAGTTAAATAAATGAGCTCCTAATGGAACGTATAATTTAAAAACACATTTTCCGAAGTTACCAGAGCGGGAAGGGGAGGGGATTTGAGGAGTTTTTGGCGCAGCTCAATGTTCAACGGAAAAATTTTTATCATATATATGTGTATATATATGTACATACATAGATGTATGTAGGTATGAAATTTGTAAGCGACACCAAAAAAATCATTGTACTTCTTTTATTTTTTATATTTCGGCCTCTTTTTATTTTACGATTTTTGAGCTATTTTCGGCAAAGCGATTTGGTGAAGATTTAGCGACCAGAAAATGTACAAAAAGAGATAAATAATTTGATTTCTTTTCATTGCTAAAAAAATCCCTTCTGCCAATTGAATAAGATTAGAAACTTATATTGTTACTCATAAAATTGTGCGTACGGTTTTTTAATATTCGGAATGTTTTAAATGCTACAATTTTTTTTGTTAATTTTGTATTAAAATATGGCTTATACTTTGGCAAACGCCATTTAAATCCAAGAATGGAACTGTGTAAGAAATCTAAGAACATTTGTAATATTTATTACGAACTTCTTCAGGTATGCAGTGTTATAGCCCATTAAATTCTAGTATAATAATGTGCAAATTTCAAATATCTAAAGATTCGCGTTGATTTTTGAGAGTTTTTTTGCAGAGAAGGAACGCAACAATGTAGTTAACACACACAAATATATCTAAACTACAAGTTAAGGGACAATTAACAAAGTAGCCAGAAATAGGCACAAACAATTCCAAAAAATTAAAAAAAAAACAGACAAGAAATATACAGGAAATGCAGTCCAAAGCTTTATTAATTAATCTTTTAACCCTTTATTGCCCAAATCGAAACTGAGAGTGACATATATTTCTTATTAGCATACATACATATTGCGAGTTAAAAAAGATAGTTTTATGAAAATATTTTTTTTATTTTCTTGGGTTAAATAAATACACACACATATATATTCACTTTTCCTACGATGCTGGACATTAAAGAATTTTAGGATTTTTTTTTTTCAAAAGTATTCATAAAAAATCTCAACACTTAGATGTACACAAGCACGTACAGCGGCCAGTAATGGGCTAATTTACTTTTGTCTTTCTTTCCTTTTGCTAATTTTCCCCTATTTTATATTGTTTTGATATATTCATTCTCTTATTTATATGTTACTTTATTTTCATTATTTCCTTCTTTTTTTTTTGTTAAGTTTTCATAAATGTTACTTAATGTTTACTTTGTTTTGAAAATTTTTTTATATTTCATTTTGTTTACTAAAAAATTTACACTTTTTTTACGACTTAATTGCATTTAGTTTTCTTTTCCTTTTGTGTTTATACATTAATGTAATTGTAATTGAGTTTTCTTTACTACTTTTTTATTGCAATTTTATTTAATCTTAATTTTTATCTTTATAAAGTTATATTTCTTGTTTAAATTATTTTTAATATTTGAAGTCCTTAAATCAATTTTTGTTTTATTTATTGTTTTAATCCAATTTCATTTTCATATTTCAGGAAATATTTTTTTTTTATTTCAAATGTTTTATATAAATTTTCTTTTATTTAGTTCCTCTATTTTTTGTGTAATTTAAGTCTTATGTGAATTTAATTAATTTTTTCTGTTCATATTCTTTTTAAATTACTTTTAGTTTACTTACTTTAAATTTTTATTTTGTTTTTTTTCAAGTTTCTGGTAACTTATGTATATTTTATCCTAATCAAATTTTATTTATTTTTGAACTTGTTTTATTCTTTATTCTAAGTTTTTATTGACACTTTTAATTATTTTAATTATTTCTTTTTATTCTACTTCATTTCATTTTATTTTAATTTAATTTTTTTTGTTTTCGTTTATTTTTTATTTTATTTTATTTTTATTTCATACATTTTTATCCCATTTTATTTTATTTCATCTTACTTTTTTCACTTTAGTTTATTTTATTTTATTTACTTAGTTTCTATTTTTGTAAAATTTTTTTTTATTATCTAATTTATTTTCATCTACTTTTCGTTTCTGTGTATGCTTAATTTTTCCTTTATTTCATTTTTATTTTATTTTTGCTGTCATTCAATCTTAATATTATTTAAACTTTCGTTTGTTTAGTTTAATTTTGTTATCTTTTCACATTTTACCTAGTATACACTATTTTGTTTATTTGTTATTTTCTTTTATATCTTATTTGACTTTCATTTAATTTAATTTAATTTAGTTTTATTTTATTTTACTTTATTCTATTTATTCTATTTCCCTGTACTAATAATTTCATTTTATTTGTTTTTATGTATTTAAGTTTTTGCCTTAATTAAATTTATTTTTTTATTTCACTTTGTGTCCTTTTATTTTATTGTATTTTATTTATTTTAATTTGAGTTTTTTACTATTTTTACAATTTTATGGAGATTTCTCAATGTGAAGATTAACACTATTCACACAGTTCATTGACACTTTACAGTGCTTACATACATACATGCAAACATATGTACATACGTATGTTTAAATATACGCTACTGAAGAATTGCTTTCGACAAAATACTTCATACACTGTTTTACTCGAAAATCTTAAAAATACACTACACACCATTTCTTTCTTTTAGTATTTTTCCAGACTTCGAGCAGTGGTATATGTACATAAGTGTTTTGCCAACGTTCAAAAGATATTTTCCTTATTTCCAATCAAAGCAATTCAATGGCTTTTCACAGAAGTAAACGCAAAAAGTCTCAAAATCCAAAGAACACAAATAGATTTAATTTTCCAAGCAGCAGACTTCTGCGAAAAATTTGCGTGAATAAACAAAGAAAATGGTATTTTTGCAGAACACACAGCCTCAGAATTCGAACTACGCGAAGGAGGTGCATAGACACACCCACAGAATCGCGCGTATGTGATTAAAACAAAATTGTGGTACTACTTTAACTCAAACGTACAGAAATCAGAAGCGAAAACCCCGTGCAATACCGCCGAACGACATAAACAAACTGACTGCGAGCAGCAACCCAAAGTGAACAACAGTCCACAAGATCCGGCAGGCAGCAACAGTTTGAGCGGCGAGCAATAACAGGCTAACAGCCCACTGAGGGAGGAATGTTGACGAAAAGAGGGTGGTTAACAGTAATTTTAATAGCTGCATCAGTGTTGCCAGGTTGTGGATTTAGTCGTCATTTTGATATTTTTTACTGCCATGCCGATTCGCCGACTTTTGGGACCCAATGACGATTTTTCTTTATGTGTAAATTTGCCTGGTTCTCAACTTTGAAGATAGACAGATAACTGAAAATTGCAGTGTAAACACCTATTGAGAGTTTACCGCTTCAGCACTAATAGTAGTTATCGATAAGTAGTTATTTTCTTTGTTTCATCATTAATTGTGTAGTTTATGGCGGTAAAATTCGTAATTTTTCGCGTTGTGACGTTGTGTACATATTTTATTGAGCGAAGGGAATTAAGAATAAGTTTTTTAGCAAGTATGAACAGTTTTAAATGCACGTCGTGAAGTTGCAGCTTAAAAAAAAACGAAGATGCAAATATGATTTTATTGCAATTAAAAATATGTTTGTTAAAAGTAATGCCAGCTTGAGAAAAATTGCAGGAAGTTGAAGTTTTTATTTTTTACGTATATCAATCAGAAGCTAGAATAAACTGAAAAAACAACCAAAAGAGCTTCCTGGTTCTGTTTATTAAAATTTTTTATATGGTGACGATTTTTACATGCAAATGACGATTTTCGAGAGCCAAACTGACGAGGAGAAGCTCGGCCAAACACTCACATATGTGTAAGCGCCAATCTATTATTATTATTAAACTGACGATTTCTCACTTCAATGAGCTGGCAACACTGATCCAATTCCAGAGGCAACAGACAAACTATTACGGGGGTTTCTCCCATGCCACTGTTGGTCAATGTGGTCAGAACTTTTTGGGCCGACCGGCTAAATAAGCCAAAAAAAGGCTTAAAACGGCTAAAATATTTCAACTAAAATTCACATGTTTTACTTAAATAAACCACAAGTAGAAATACTAGTAAATTCATTAAATACATCTCAAAAACAGAGACTGGTAAATTCATTATAAATTATCCTTTTTTAACAAAGGAAACTGTCATTATACGTAGCTAGCTTTACACCAAAAGTGATGTTTATATTACTTAAATAGAAATAAGTTAATGGTAAAAACAAGTATATTTAAAGCAGGCTTTCTAAATATGAACGTCATAGGACCCTAAATACTGGTTTACCATGTATACCGGCTCGTGTTCCGCCTATCGGCAAAATTTTTAGTGGAGTTGTTCCTTTTCATCTAGTTATTATACGTTCTGAACCGAACCGTAAATGCGGGATTTTAAAATATCTCGACTCCTGCGGTACCTACTGAATTAACTCATCTTTCGTATTGCATTGTCATCGGGTTCTGAGCCAACTGAGCTCCTAACAAACATAAGTACATACAGACAGAGCAAGTTATATAAACGCTTGTAAAAATGATTTATTACAAAACTTATGGCATTTTCCTTTCAATTGAAAAAGTTTGCCTTGTTATATGTCTTGTAACATTTTCACTAGGTTATGTTCCCGTTTTTAATGACCTGCTCACTCTCTGCACATGCCTACTACAATTATTCAAAGTTATTGTCTGCCCAGAGAGTATTGCTTTATTACGTAATTTTTTCAGTGTTGCGAATAAAACTTCACACTTAAAGTTAAGACATTCGTAACAAAACATATGTGAATAAAATCCCTGCTACGTCCTTCTTTGGAAAAAAAATACAGTGAAATTTCAAACTCTGTGTAAAAATTATAAAAATTCAGCAAAACTTCACAAAAATTTGTAACTTTTTAATCAGCATCTTTAGAAAAAATATAGGACTTACCGTTTACTTTGGCTTTTTTTTTTGTATGACGGTGTTACGCATTTTTGTCATACGAAATAATAATAAGCGGAACGCCGTCAACAAAAAATTGCCAAAAATCAACAGTATGTGCTAGTTACTTTAAATTTGTACTTTCTTATACTAAAGTTTAAAATTTTTAAAGATGCTGATTAAAATGTTGAAAATTTTGGTGGAAATTTGCAAAAATTTCATAATTTTTGCATAAAGTGTGAAATTTGTATTTAAATGGTGCTTTTTAAGTAATTAGCTACACTTTCATAAAAAAATAATAATAAGCATTAAATAAACTAAAGAAAAATAGGCAAAACTTGCTGAAAATATCCCGTCCCATTTAATATGTTTGTATTTGGATAGCTGTACATTTGCTTAAATTAAAAATTATTGAAATCGGCCCAGTATTTTAGGACCTTTCGGATGAGAAAAAATTCTCTTTCAATTTGATATAACACAGTCCGACATAAAATTTTTTTCCGAGATAAGGCTAGCCAATTCTAATAGATTTTAGGTCGCTAAATTTTTAAAAAATTAATCTTATGCATTTGAATTTTAAGAAAATAAGCTCTGTAGAAAAATCGGCTAAAACTGCTAATTCTTTTTTTTTTCAAAACGGCTAACAAATCGGCTTCCGGCAACCGACTAATTCGAGCCGGAAAATGACTAAACTGGCAACACTGCTGTTAGTGGATGATAGCGGTTTGATCTCCTACATAAAGCCAATGGGGAGAGGGAGAGAAAACCCAATTTATTGTTTACTTATTTTACTTTACATGGCGAGCAGTGATTCCAGTGATTTTACCATAAAATTCTATGTAAATAAAAATAAAGTGAATGTGAAACAGCTGGTTTAAGTACATACATACATATGTAGGAGTACAACAATAAATTGCCAACACAGAGCTTAGCAAAGAAAATGCTTGAGCCTTGTAAATAATACAAATGAGTACACTTACATATGTGCATACATACATATGTATGTAAACTTGAAACTCGTCTACCGATTTGGCTAGTCAGTTTGTCAGTCAACCAGTTTTCGAGACGATTTAACTGTTTTACCTGTCATTCTGCTGATCGCTCGCTGGCTCGCCTAGCCAACATTTGAACCAGTTTAGTGACAGCAAACAAACCACCTTAGGGTGGTCGGGAAAAGCTAAAGTCGGAATTTTAATGCTCTCACGCCTAGTATTGCTCTATATCGACAAAATATATCTCTATTTTATTATTTTGAAATCAAAAAATATTTAGAGGTCGCTCAAAGCGCTCAAAGTTTTCCATGTATTTTATATGGGGAAAAAACAACTTTTCGTAGAAATGGTATAGAATTCTTGAAAATCAATATTTTTCGATCGGAAAACTATGGTTCTCTTCAAGAGACTTCCAATAATAATAACCAAGTTTTTATGCAACAATTTTTTAATAATAAAGATTTTGTGTTTTTTTTCATATATGTACATGATACACTTTGAGCGCTTTGAGCGACCTTTAAATATTGTATGATTTAAAAAAAAAAAAAAATAGGGGCATTTTTTCGGTATGGAGTAATCCTAGGGGGTGAGAGCATACAGATTCTGACTTTAATTTTTCCCCATGCATTTTTGTACAACCCTAATGTATGTACATATATACGTATCTGATCGAAGTTGGTAGCAGAATTAGTGATTCGAAATGCAAAACTAGGCTTCGTTCAACTAAATACATACAAACATACATAGTTAATAGTGTATATATGTATACATATAACTAGTTAGCTCGAAATTCCAATAGAATTAATTAAATTATGAACGGACAGTTTAAAAAGTCAGTGACTTTTTGAATAAAATTTGGAATTTATTAAATAAATAAAAACTAAAATCATACGACGTCCTTGTAGCCTTAATTTCTATTAAAGCATTTACTTTACATTTTTGAATAACATATAAGTAGGTATGTATTCTTTCATAAAAAAATTTTTTTAGGTCTTCTTTAGTTTCGATTCATTTAGTCCATGATTTTTCCAATTTTGTTTATCTCTTTGACAGGTTCCTTCAGGATCTTCAGTTTCGCAAACTGAGATTTTTTCGGCGTTAGCGCCTTCATTGAACCTAAATCTCTCAACGTAGAGTCTTTTAATCAAGTTTAACAAGTAAGAAAGTCTAAGTTCGGGCGGAGCCGAACATTAAATACCCGGCGCAAATATTAAATATATGATTTTCACCTTTCCGAAAGCTACCGCTAGATGGTAAGCCGGGGTGTATCAATTTTGAGTAAATTAGCGTCCTTCAATTTTGAAATATTGAAGTTTCAAGCATTTCTGAAATTTACCGTTATATGAAAAGCGGCCGTAATTTTAGTCCCATTCCAATAATTTTCAACGCTTTGCTTTTATGTGGCAAGCACAATAACCACACCGAGTTTGGTACAAATTGATAGAACGGTTACCGATATACATATATGTGATCATAAATGGGCGGTGCCCCGCCCATTTTCCAAAATGTTACCATAAAGGTATTTCTTGGTAAAGAATTGTTGCAAGCATCAATTTTGAATAAATTAGCTTCAATATTTACTGATTTATCGAAGATTTTGTATTTCTCTAAATTACCGTTATATGGGATGTGGGCGTGGTTATCGTCCAATTTTAAAAATTTTCGGCGATTTTGTATGCTGTACCTGTGCCAAGTTTGGAAGAAATTGGTGCAGCGGTTACCAAGATATACACATGTAACCATAAGTGGGCGTGGCTACGCCCATTTTCCAAAAATGTATAATATTCTTACTTTTCGTCTAAAAGGTATTTTAAATATCAATTTTGAGTGAATTATATTCAGTAGTTACTAAAATATCGCAGTTTTCGTATTTCTAGAAATTACCGTTATATGGGAAGTGGGCGTGGTTACAGTCCGATTTCGCCCATTTTCAATACCAACCTACCTTGGATTATGGGAAATCTACATACAATTTTTGCTCGAGTTATCGTGTACCCAGACGGACGGACGAACGTACAGACAGACATGGCTTAATCGATTTCTTTTTTCATCCTGATCCTTTATGTATACAT